GGATGGGATGGGGATGGGATGGTGATGCAATGGGATAGGGTTGGGGTTGGACATGGAGATGGGATGGAGATGGGGATGTGGATGGGGATGGGATTAGGTTGTGATTGGGTTGGGATGGAGATGGGGAGGAGCACAGGGATGAGGACGGGGATGGGGTTTGATTGGGATTGGGTTGGAATGGGGATGCAATGAGGATGGGGATGAGGATGGGGAAGGGGATGGGATAAGGGATGGGATGCATCCCAAAACACAGCCATGGGAAGGTGACCTGTGGGTCCAGCTGGAAGCAAAGGTGAGCAGCTGAGCATGAAGCTGAGGTGGGCAGCGTGGCCAGTGTGACCACAGTGGGCTCTTAGCTGGAGATCACAGTGACCACCGTCTCTTCAAAGACCCTCCGGAAGGCGACCTGGAGGGGTACCAAGGAGCAGTGCCTCCGACAGCTCCCCACCAAGAAGTAGATGAAGGGGTTGATGCTGCTGTTGATGCAGGCGAGCAGGAAAACAACCTGGGAGGACAGGACATCATAGCTGAACTGCTGCAGGAAATTCCAGATGCTGAGAGGAACCCCAAAGATGAGGAAGTAAAGGACAGTGAGGAAGATAACAATGTAGAGCCTCCTGGGTTGACGTTGTTTGGAGCCACACAGAACCTTAAAGAACAGGATCACATTGGAAATGACCATGGGTGGGGCAAAGATGAGGAAGTTGAGGACGTACATGGAGATGAGAGCCACCCGGCAGTGCTCGTGCTCGTGCAGCAGGCACAGAGAAGTCACTGCAGCAATGACAGCGATGGAGAGGGCCCAGAGCAGGGCACACACCACGGATGACAAGCACGGGGGACGGCGGCAGCGGTACCAGAGTGGGCAGAGGATGGACACACACCTCTCGATGCTGATGGCCGTCAGGAGATACAAGCCCATGTTGTAGGAAAAGAGTGAGAGGAGGAAAAGAGACCTCAGGTACCTCATGGACACCACAGTGGAGCAGATGTTGTCCATCATGTAGAGGAGGGCTGAGGTGACCATGAAGAGGAGGAAGGTGAAGTCGGCGACGGCCAGGTTGAGGATGTAGACGGTGAAGGGGTTCCTGCGGATGTGGAAGCCGAGGAGCCAGAGGACGGTCCCGTTCCCCACCAGCCCGCAGAGGCAGATGAGCAGCGTGACACCATCTATGGCCACGTCGGTGACTTCTACCCTGCACTGGTTGTCTCCATCAGTTTCTGGCACGGGTGATGTGGGAGGTGGGGATGTCTGGTTCAGCTCCATGGCAGGAGCTGGGACGTGGTCCCCAGCTGTGGTCAGAGTGGACAAGGAGTTAGTGGGACCCCAAAGGATGTCTCAGGGAGAGGGGACCTGGAGATGTGACACAGGAGGGCTGGGGACAGGGGGGGTGACGGGAGGGCTGGGGAGGTGGCTGCCTCACCGGTGATGGGCTGGAGGGGTTGGAGGGGCTCCAGGCACCCTGAGGGAGGATGCACATGGGAGTGGTGAGAGGGGCTGTGGGGACCTCCATGGAGGAGTGAGCAGCTCCCTGGGCCACGTTCCCATCCCACCTCCCTACCTTTCCAGGGGCCGACCTGCCCACACGTCCAAGCAGGACACGTTCTCCTGGCCACGATCTTCTCAGATGAGGAGAACTGGGGTCTCCACGTCCTCAGAAGACCCAAGCAGCTTGTCTCCCCTCCAAATAAAACTGCTGTTTGGGGCGTTTCTGCAAGATCATGGGTCAGGTGGTGAGAGAGCTGGGCAGTTTCAGAGCCACAGGCTGCACCACCCAGCCTCTTCTCCTGTCAAATTTCTTTTGGTCTTGCGGGAAAGGAAATGTTTTGTCCGAGAGAATACCCCAGAGGATGGATACTGAAGTAGCTCCATCTTGCTGTGAAAGAATCTAGATGCTTTTAGGATTCAACCTGATATCTCATTAGATTGGTAATTACCACCTTCCTAATTGTTTTCTTGTGCTCTGGTCTCCTCCCCCTACCCATGTCCTGATGTTGGCATCCTTCTGAGATTGTTCATTACTGGCTGCATTTGCCTTCCAACCTCCCCGGGTGAGAATCCTCCTTGTTTCTCCTCCATCTTTGTCGTCCATCAGGCTTGGGTGGGAATTTGGTCTTCAAACCATTGGGTCAGAGTTTTTCTGGGTTGGGTTGGGGGTTGCTGAGTGATCTCCTGGCCAAACTGGTACCCACCAAGGGAGCCTGGGGGGAGACAGTGGTGGGATGAGCAGGGGATGAGCCAGCTGTGGGGCTGGGGGGGAACAGCAGGGAATGGCACATATGACCCCCCCAATCCCTCCTGGTACCCCTATACCAGTAGCACCTATTCACCCCCACTGAGGCCTTGGGGTGGCAGAGGAGGGTGTGAACCAAAGGGGAGGGGGTCTTGGGGACCTCCAAGCTGGGATGTGGGGAACATGGTCTCTCTTTCCTCACCATAGTGGCACCGGCTGCCCTTTGTGTCCCCCCCCAGTCGTTGTGTCCCCCCCAGTCACTGTGTCCCCCATCCCAGTGGGTGTCATGGCCAGATGGGGGGCAAAGCACCCCCCCAGCACTGGGTGCCCTCTCCAGCATGGGCAGAAACTGGTTCTTCAGCTCATTAAGCCCTTTAATTGCTGCTGGGACCCTGCCTGGCTCACCAGGGTGGTCAG